AATAGAGATTCCATCGCATATCAACTGCAGATTCTTTTTATATGTAAGTTGATACAGTCAACGCTTGAGATGTATATATTTGACCAGTTTATGTTAATATTTTCAAAAAAGTTGATTATAGCTATGAACCATAGTCTGCTTCATATATCTATGTCTTCTCGATCAATTCAAAAAGAATTTGTAGAGAACTAATATTTCTGTCTAGTGGAATTATGTAGTGATTGAAGAACATAATAATTTCGTTTTTTCTGTGAAAAGCAGATATAGTTGAAAGCTTTTATTAATTAAAGTTGAACACCAGGACAACAATTTTTTATAAGTGGCACATGCGATACTAAGACAATCTCTGATAGGCTCTGAAGGCGAGACAAAAGCAGAACTGAGAATGGGGAGGAGGATGAGGAGAAGAAGATATGAGAATGCAGATTTCGTAGATTTAACAATAGCAATTAAATGATTAGATGAAATGAATAGAAATTTATATCTTATCATTACAGATAGAAATCTCACCCACGACGGTGTGTGGCGTTAATATGATAGTTGAAGGAACAAAATAAACAGAAAAATGCAGTAGAATATAAGGAATTGGAAGCCGGTTTCCAAGCAATATTGAGCTAGAAATTGCTGGATCCCGTAATCATATCCCAAATCGAATCAATTTCGGACGAGTTTATGCACATTTCACATTGCACTATGTGTTATTTAGTTTAGATAGTGGCTACCAATTCCGTCGTCTTCTTGCCTTTTCCGATCTTTTCGATCTCACCGCTAGCCTCTCCGCTAGCTTCTCCGCTACCTTCACCGCTACCCTCACCACTTCCTTCACCGCTTAGTTCAACTCCTGGAGAGGTTTGCTCGTGATTCTCACAGAAATGAGGGAAAATTGGATGAATTTAATACCTGATCCTTCACCAGAGGCTTCGACATTTTCACCAGATTCAGCACCTTCCCCAGAGCCTTCACCTGATCCTTCGCCTGACGTTTCTACCTCGGTTTTGGCTAAAACTCAAAAATTATTTAAATGTTGTTTCTTTTCAGAGGAGTATTTATGAGAGAAATTTTTAAACTTTTGCAAAGAGCTACGTTCTTGCTGCTTAAACAGTTTTATTGCAAAATTTCGGCTGAAAAGTTTCTTTAGAAAATCAACATCCAAGCACTTCTTCAACAACCCAAACGCGACTATTTATCATTCAACACCTGTTCATTTCTTCTGATCTCACTATCCTATTCTTTTCGTATTACGACAGACGTACGGATAAACATAAAAACATAATACGAGCTCCGGGAAATTTTATCAA